TAAGCCAAATATGTTGGGTTTGTGTGTATTCTCACTAATACTGGGTTTTGCTGTTTTGCACTTGGATTCAAAGGCAGACACTATTCGCCAGTTATTACACGAAACCAACGCTATTTGCATGAGAATATTATTGACATTAATCAGGTTTTTAAACAAGATATAAATCAATTATTCTCTATCTTTCTCTTTAAATATAAAATGCATGAAATTATTATTATGCAGAATAATGCCAATCGGTATGTTTTGCTGGATGACTGTACAAGCAATTAAAATGAAATCACCTGAAAAAATTCTTGGTCAATTGGGGTGGTTTTTTGGCACAGTATTTCTGACATATGGGTCCATTTGGTTTATATTTTATCCAACAATATATTTTTTAATAATACGCAAGAATTGTTTCAAAATGAATTTCAATATTATTCCTGCTCAAATTATAGCTTTTGGATCATCATCGAGGTAAATTATTTAGAAGGTGATCTAGATATTAATATTATATGTGTTGGTTAGCGCACTAACACTACCGGTTACTATGAAATGTATGGAAGAGAAAAACCATCTATCACAAACTGTGTCGCAGTTTGTATTACCCCTGGCAATGACCATGCACATGCCCGGTGCGGCCACTTATTACCCCATGGTTAGTCTGTTTGTGGCACAAATGCACGGCATGACCATCACGTTTCAGATGACAATCAGCTTGGTGTAATTATTTTATAAATGCTATAACTTATTTTATAATAACTATAAAAATTATATTTTTTAAATTTTATCTAGTATATTCTGCGTTATTATGTCTATGGCACTACCAGGTACACCATCGGGTGGTTCATCATTAATATTTTTCTTAACCACCTGCTCACTAATCGGAGTAAATAACCCAATGGATGTCTTGGTGTATACTATGTCGCTTGAATGGTTTTTGTAAGTAAAATAGTTAATATGAATTGCTCTGTGCAAGAAACACATCTTTGAATGCTTTCATAGCTGTAACACAAAAATATAATATGTTTTTCAATGCAATATATAGTGATTATTTTGTGTTACAGCTATGAAAGCATTCAAAGATGTGTTTCTTGCACAGAGCAATTCATATGTACAATTAAATCAATAATTATAATTATTAAATCAAAATTTCTTTCCATTTATATAAAATTATACATCATATATAAATATTTATATTTTATAAATTGTAAAGTTTTATATTTAGCCTATTTATTATTTTATAGTGAAGGCATACGAACGGCGACTAATATCACCGGCGATTCAGTAATTGCATCGATTGTACAAAAACTATGTAAATTATAACAAATCAAAGCTGACAACTTTCAATAGTTATTCATCCCATCATTTATAACTAAATAATAATAATTATTATTATTTGAGATAATAAATAAAATACATATTTAGAAAGAAAAATAAATACTTTATAGCATTTCATACATTTATCTTTAATAAATTAATAATAAACAATGCATTTCATTTATCACTAAAAATAACTACAGAATAACAATCAACGATAGTAACAATGTATAAACAAGCACACCTTTCTCAATGCTATAACTTGATATGATTAAATTACTGTATGTGTTTATAATCCGGGTTATTATAATTAACAAACAAGATAAGTTGTTAAAATAATTGCTTGTTTATATGTAATATGTGTAATATATACAGTACTATTAATTTTTGTTTACAAAGACAATACCCTATTATTAAGTGAAGTAATAATATATACTGAACCGTATTTAACACGGATATCAATATCTACGCAAACAATTTAATTGAATGTCAAATAAAAGTAAAAACAATAAACAAAACTTAAAAGTATATAAGGATTGAGACTCGATATCACTTTATTAAAAAGTGAAAACAGTTTATAATAATAATTAATCAAAAATTTTAAAAGTTTTTATAATAAACTTTCTTTTGTTGAAACTTTTAACTACAAACAAAAATTATTAAATAATGAAATTCATTTCACAATCACTGATCGTCGCTGTTATTTGTTACGCTATCCGTAAGTAATTTTAACTAAATTAATTAAAAAATTAATATTTTTACAAAAACAATTAAAAATTCTGAATTCAAAAATCTAAATAATACCTAGATGACTGTAGCTGTGGTGGGCCTGAAATAGTATCTGCCGCCCGATCGCAGATAGGGGTGCCGTACAGTTGGGGTGGCGGCAGTTGGAAAGGCAAGTCGTACGGCATTGGCAAAGGGGCGCATACTATAGGCTTTGATTGCTCGGGTCTGGCCCAGTACGCCGTGTACAAGGGTACGGGCAAAATTATCCAGCGCGTTGCCGACGCTCAATACGCCGATGGTAAATGCAGCAAGGTCGCCTACTCGG